TTTTTATTATTTATTTTCTTTTGCTATTAGTAGGATTGTGCTATTGACTCTGCTCTAGTTGCTGTAAATTTTGTGCTATCATATCAATCATAAGCCCCTCTTTCTTTTACATGTAGCACCTATGTTTTCTACTGGCCTCTCTTCCGTTCTGGTCTAGGCCAGCAACTTACTTTTCTTGTAAATCAGCAGTGATGTGCCGAGAGAGTGGATGTATTTGCTTTGCTTTCATTCATTCATTGTGGTCAGCGGATATTTATTGGCCATGATACTAGGCCCTGGAAATATGAGATGGACACACAGCCTATCTTCTTGGCCAAAACCAAACTCCAAACTCCTGGCCATCAAGTTGATGCCAACTCATCACAACCCTATAGGGCAGGGTAGAACTGCCCCTGTGGGTTTCTGAGACTAACTCTTTATGGGATTAAATAGCTTTGTCTTTCTCCCATGGAGTGACTGGTGGTTTTGAACTGCTGACCTTTTGGATCACATTCCAACGCATGACCACTCTGCCACAGGGCTCCAACTAGGCATATCCTATCAAATCATGGACATGGGCAACTACAGTAGAAATCAGATCTGTGAAGGGCTGTATTAATTGGCTATTGCTCTTGTAATATACATACCACATAGTGGTGTATACCAACACACATGCACTCCCTTATAATTCTGAGGATTTGACCTGTACAATGAGCATCTGCAGGAATGAGTTCTTTGGGAAGGAGGCTTTCCCAGCTTCCAGAGCTTTCGCAACTTTCTCATGTGCAGAGAGCTCCATCCTCAAAGCCACCAAAGTACACTGTCTTTCCTCTTGGACGTTTCTTCCTTCCTTCCTTCCTTCTTTCCATCTTTAACTCTGGCTTCACTGGCTCCTTTGATAAGGACCCTTATGAATACACTGGACCCACCTAGATAATCCAGACACTGCTTCCCCTCTCAGGATCTGAATCACATCCACAAAGCCCCCTTAACCACGCAAGGCAACATGTCAGAAAGTGATGGGGGGGCCATTATTCAGCCTACCACAGGGGTGGTGCTAGTCACGTGTGTGTTGTCTTAATCGGCATTTTCTGTGTGTGTGTAGCATTATTGGTTTATTAATATCATTAAATCAATTCTGAAATTTGACTAATTGTACAGGCTAAATTTTTTAAATTAAAAGA